GCCACTCCCCGTTAGCCAACCAAAAGAGAACCCCTGATTTACCAAGCAGCGGGAAAGTTTGTTGAGGGTACCTTTTCGGGGGTGGCTTCAAAGGGATGTTTGTGTGTTTGTTTGTGGACACACATGCGAACAAAAACTCACTCTTTGTGAGTTCCTGGACTTTGAGTCTTTTTTGGGAAGACCAGTTTAGAGGTATCCCAAGAAATCAATTTCGTTTGACTCGACTCACCTGGCCTGGGCCCATCGGGTCGTCGGGTCATCGGGTCGCGGGGTCGCGACTCCGCGACGCGCAGGCGCGGCGGAGTTGCTCGCCATGGCGGCCTTGTGCTCCTTCGCAGGGGCCGGAAGCTCGATTCAACGGGAGACGTGGTGCAAAAACGTTAAAAGGGGGGTTTCGAGGTCTTGGGGAGTTGGGAAAGCTCTTGGGAACTCTCCCGTCTTTGCACTCGGCGATCTTCTTTTTGGCATTCCTCATATAACGGGGTCACGGTCACACAGGATTAGTTCCCCTTTCGTGGCATGCCCAAGCTTGTGATCACTGTACTTTTGACGCCTGATGTCCTTTCTCTTTCCGATTCCTGCAAAGCAACGGCCGCTCCTAGTTTTAATGGACACACCACACTACAGACGTCCCAAGAGCTTCATTCTTCCCAACTGGGTTTCAAGAAGCTCGAGCCAACCCATTTGTTGATTCCCAGTTAGACCTATATGGCTGTTGTCAAAACCGTTTTGGGATCCCATGTTGGGGGGGTTTTCGGTGAATTCACCACCCATTTTAGAACCTATTTAGTGGGGATTGAATCGGATGTTCACTGGGGGTACGGGATTTTGGCCATATGGTTAGGCTTCGGTTGACCTACAAATCAAACAATGGGAGCATTGGGGTCGAGTGAGAAGCTGAGAAGGCGCACGCTCATGAGTCGCTGCAGTTCATTCAAGTCCTTTGTCCAAAGCCGAACTCTTTGTCCGGTTCCCGTTTTGGGCACTCCGGGCAACTGGAATGTGAAGGCCACCCCAAATGTTTAACCTTTTGTTTCCAATTTTGTGCAAGATCGTGCGAAATGTGTTTTTTTCCACATGGTATTTGATTTAATGGTGGGGTTCAATCCACTGTTAAACTAATGGGGGCTCACAGAACCACCATTCTTTGCCTAAGGATTGTCATCATCCAAATTGGGTCCTTGCCATTCTTTTGACTGGAGAAAATGTTGCGGAGGTTGCGAGCCAAGATCCTCGAGTGGTGCCGCCTCGATCGAGGCTCTAACTCTGACGCTGCTGACCCGCCGTTCCTTCCGGCCGGCCACCCAGCGAATCGAGTCGAGTAGGGGACTGCACGGAACCAAGGTCAGATTGGATCGAAGACTCTGGAGACGCACTGGAGACCTCACAATCTGGATGAGAACAATTGTGCGCATGAAGATTCCTTCCATAGGTCGGGTATTGTTCTAAGCTGCCTAGATGGTCAGATGCTTGGTTTCTTTCACGTGAAGGGAACGCCCTTTACTTACACGGTAAGGCATCATGATTCAGTGAAGCAACATTTGCTTTTCCCGCTTTGGAAGATGTTGAATTCCTGTCTGCGGGGTTGCAAGGTTCGCATTTACAATCAACCAAATTAGTTTTGTCTGCGAAACATCCACATGTAGGTTACATACCGGGTTCGGTTTGAACAGGACTATCCCTATCTGAAAAAGATGAAACCATTGTATCCAAATCTTGCATGTACACAGTATGTGCCTGTTGACGTTGTGGAATGCAGCTGGCTGATGAAGCGTGCCTCAAAGATTTGAAGATGTGGTTGGTGCCCAACACACCTGCTGGCCAAAGGTTGGGCTTCTGCCAGACGCAAGACACGACTCGCAAAACAAACTGGAAACACGCGTGAGTGAGCACGCGAACACCAGGTCATGCAAAGCACTCATCTGTTTTTTACAATGGCACTTCAAAATGCTCAGGATGTGGTGGTGCTGCTGGCGCGAATTGATCAGCTGCGGCCATCGCGTCTCAACAGGGAAGCCCCACAGTGTTGAGTTGAACCCGCAAGCCCAATAGGACAACGCCTCGGGATTTGTTTGTTCGAGAGGGTGTTGATTTTGGACTCTTCCATCTGGGTGCTTGGATGCCTGCACCGTGGATGCACAAGTCTTAGCAATATAGGATATAAGATGGGGATGGGCAAAGACACTGCAAGCGGTGGTTGTTGTGTCATGTGATTTGGCACACATGGCTGCTTTTGACAAAGCATCCCAACACACAGTACAGTTTTGTGTTCTTCAAATGGCCCTTCGATGACCCTGGACTGTGAGATATATAATATGGAACGCCAGCCGAATCAAGAAAGGGTCGTTTGCGTTGTCAAGTTACAGCACGCGGCACGAATATGTCACTAAATAGATAGGGGTGAAAAGCGCCGAACTCTCGTTTCAGTCGAGAGGAAGCCGAAGACTGACTCAGTAGTACCCCCTTGTTTTCTTGTTTGCAGGCGTTGCCCCTTTATTTCCATCTAACGCTTCAAGGGGGTGCTTACCCTTTTTTCCCCATGGCCAATTGGGAGTCTTGGGTAAGTATGGAGCTTTTGAAATAGAAGCGTAGAGCGTGTGTTGCTGCCATTGATCTCTCGCATTGGTGTTTGGGTGGTGCCGCAAGCTTGCCATGTTTGCCAACACGCGGTGCTTATCCTTTTGATCTTTTGGTAGTAACTTGCCTGTTTGCATTCCGCTAGCCCTTGTTGTTTTTGAGTACCCCTCCCCCCCCCCCAAACCCATCTTTTCTTCCAACAGGCAGAAAGACAGGGTTCTCTGAGTTTCCTCGTTTGGTGGTGCAAAACATCACCTTTTTGGCTCATTTAAGGTGTGTTTCCCTTGTGGGCGATGATTTAAGGGGAAATCATAGAGCGTCCCTCTTTCACGGTGCTGGTTGGGAGGGGGTGTAACATACGGAGGCGAAATAGTTGCTCACTGTTTACTCTTAGACTCACTCATCTTGATGTGGCTGTGGGTCAAACAAAGGTACCCAAAATGGAACCCTGGTAAATGAAAACGTGGACCAAAACCTGCGGTCCCCTAGTGGTTTAATTTTGACCCACACCTATGTTCCGGTCCCCGGGCCCAAATGATTTAGCCGATATGACTCTTGCCAGGTGGGCCATGAGATGGCAGGACGCCCAAGAAATCCGGCGCCCCGAAATCTCTTCGCGAACTCGAAGAATCATCAACTGCCTTCTGTCTCGCTACCGTTGGGCCCTGATGTTGATCCATGTCCAATCGCTGTTGGTGTTCGATGGGACTTGGGAGGCCCACTTGTAAAGAAACACCAATTGTTTGTATGTGCATTGCTGCCTGAATGAATGGCCAGAAGGCCCAGGTTAGGGACAACATGCTCATGTCGAATGAGATGGGCTTCTCAACATATTGGTCACACAAATTCAAGGGTGTCCTTAGTCACCTTTGTCCAGAGTTATGTTGTATTCTATGGTTTGGTCCTGACCATGTAACGGGGGATGAGAAACACAACGTAACAGACCCTCAGCATTGAACACTGAGCCCTGCAAACTTGTGCGACCTTCAGTTGCCTAGCTGACAATACATTGGGAGCACGAGTAGCTGGTACCGTCACCCGCCTGTGTTCAAGCTGCATATTGGAGTACTTGTCTTCGTGACTGGCACTTAGACCGGGCCAAGATGACTTGCAGGAGCAGTGGGGGATCAGAACATGTTTCTTGTTTGGTTCGCTGTGGCTTTACAAGTCTATTTTTTAGCATCCCGGCCGCCACAGGGCTTGTTTCACACATATACTTGATACACTGGACACTGGCCACATGTAATAATCATATGACTATATATAGATATATATATATATATATACAAACATACACATGGTTTCGTCTCTGACATCCACAAAACTGCAGGGAATCACAAGACCATATGCTGGGCTTCTTCGAGCCCCGATTTGGTGAGTTCCACACGGCATGGAGAGCTTTCTTGCAGGTACCGATGCATATCTTTGCGAATTCGCAGAGTGAACACTGCGCTGCTTTAAAAAAAAAAAAAAAAAAAACGTGCGTTGGTAGGATGGCTACATGATAAAATTTCACCCGCTGACCGCTGAAGAGGACATGCGCCAGACTTCGCGCGCACACCTGCCAAATGAAAAGTACGCCCGGTCAGGAGCACGCACGCACGACTGGGAACACATATATATATATATACATACATATACATATGTATACATATATACATATATATATATACAAACACACGCTGGCCAATGATAAGCACACCCGATCAGGAGAACCACGTAAGGCGACTGCATATGCGCCTGCCAAATGAACGGCACACCCGCTCAAGAGCACACGAGCAAGACCACACACACACGCGCACACGCACGCGCACACACACACACAGACGTCGGCCAGAGGACAAGAACAACACTCAAGTGCACACGCGCAAGAACACTTCTGCCAAATGTAAAGCACGCCTGCAGGAACAAAAAATTCGATGAAAACCAAATGTGTCCTGGCCGGCATGGGTCCTAAAACAGGCGACTCGCGCGATTGTGACCAATTAGTAGCGGCCTTACACAGGGGCTTTGCAACCTCGCACTTGCTGAAGGTTCCATTTATAGAGGCCCTTGCAGATTTTTCGGGTGGTTAAGGTCAAGGTGAAGTTTTATAACTCATCATGTACAAGCTGCCCTCGCGTTGACGTTAGTGGGTTGACATGTGATGAAGCTCACTCACATGTTTCTTCAGAGCAGCAAAGGACTATGGGCCCCTAGTGGCATTGAACTGCACGGCCCGACGGCGCGACCGCTTTGCTTTGCTCAAGCTAAATCCCACCATTTGTGGGGATGGCTGGGCCAGATTTGCGGCCAGTTCCAGGGACAAAGCAATTGCTGCCAGACTGACAGATGCAGAGTGACTGCTTTCACAACCGGATGTTTCACCAGCAAATTGTTGAAGATACATGAAGATACTCGACAAATAGATCAGAAATTGCAGACTTCACTGGTTTGCGGCCTCAAGTCGATGGATGTGAAGGAGACCTCTTTCTGGGCCTTCCTGGCTTTGCTGCAAATTGCTGTCGTGGTGCGCGCTGCCTGTGGCGTCCTTGGGCACCCTGAGCACGTCAAGACACAAATCACCAGGTGCGACCCAAAGAGGAAGGAGTCGGAAGTGACACTCTTTTTTTTCTCGGACCTTTTGTCACAAGAGGTCCAGGGCCAGTCAAACGCAATTGCTTTGGGTGTCAAGACTAGGAAGCTTTGTTTGGGTTTTCTTTTAAGGCAACAAGCATGAAACCAGGAGGAGCCAATGACACTTCTCCTGCTGACTTGCTGGCTGCTACAATTCGCTCCGGGGTTGTTGGAATTGTCAATGAGGGTTGTCTGAAACTGCTGTTTCTTCAAGGGAAGCATGGCAAATCAGACGTTTGGATTATTAAAGAGTGTCTAACTTTACGATCCCGAATGACACCATACCTGTGTACAACTGGGGATGAATAATTAATGCAGCCACAGAAGGGAAGGGAGTCAAGGATGAGGAGGAAAGGATGGGTCGACCCAAACAAAGGACATGATTCCGATGTGTTTGTATACTTCCTTTCTCTGACGCTCTTTGAACGTGTCCGGCAGGTCCCTTTGCTCGATTTTCCGCGCTGCTCGCAGCCTTCGGAGGCGGGTGAGCTTCGACTCGAGCGCGTTTTGCGTGTGACCCTTGCAATTCGGTTTTGTCCCAATTGGGGAAGTCAGACTTGGAATTGGAAAGCCAGGTGGAACACCTTTTTCCAAGCAAAGTTACCTTCCCAAAGCAAGTCATGGGGAAGCGAGCGTTGCGGAAGGGTCGGTGGATTTGATGTATGCGCGCGCGCACACACACACACACACTCGAGCTGACATGGAGGCGACGAACCTTCAACAATTGGTGTTGAACTCATGGATCTGAAAGTAGAAAGCAAAGGACAAAGCATATGCTTCTGTGTATCAGCAAACACAGCTTGCGGAACAGCTGGGATGGCCGACCCCGTGTCTTTCACCTGAGAGAACCATGAGGGAGGCGGGAGCGAAGGGCGTGTCCCTCTCAGCAACACCTGCGGCAGAGGAATGGAAGGGCAGATCAGGGAGCGCGCCTTGGCACCGTTCGACACACACACACACACACGCACACCCGCAGTCAGGCAGGCAAGCAGAGAGAAAGAGAGAAAGAGAAGGAGAAAGAGAAAGAAAAAATAGAAGTGGAGAGAGAGAAAGAGAGAGAGAGAGAGCCAGGCAGAGAGCCAGCCAGAGAGCCGGACAGACAGAGACAGGGACAGAGACGGAGACGGCGATCATGCTGGTGTAGGATTTGTTTATCAGCACCTGACTGAAATTCTGGGGTACTCCACGGCGAAGCTGAAATTGAGGTGTGTCTGTGTGTGTTGGTGTGTTGGTGTTGGTGTTTGTGATTGCGTTTGTGTTTGTGTGTGTTTGTGAGTGTTTGCGTGTGTTTGTGTGTGTGTTTGTGTGTGTTTGTGTTTGTGTGTTTGCGTGTTTGTGTTTTTGTGTTTTTGTGTTTTTGTGTTTTAGGGTTTTTGTGTTTTTGTGTTTTTGTGTTTTTGTGTTGTTGTTGTTTGTGTGTGTGTGTTTGTGTTTGTGTTTGTGTTTGTTTGTGTGTTTGTGTGTTTGTGTGTTTGTGTGTGTGTGTTTGTTTGATTGTTTGTATGTTTGTGTGTTTGTGTGTGTGGTTGTTTGTGTGTGTGTGTGTTTTGTGTATGTGTTTGTTTGTTTGTGTGTGTGTGTGTGTTCGTGTTTGTGTTTGTCACTTTCACTTGTGTGTTTGCGTGTATGTTTGTGTTTGTGTTTGTGTTTGTTTGTGTGTGTGTCTGTGTGTGTGTGTGGGTCTTTGTGTCTTTGTGTCTTTGTGTTTTTTTGTGTGTTTGTGTTTGTGTTCGTCACTGTCACTTGTGTGTTTGTGTGTGTGTTGTGTTGTGTGTGTGTGTGGGTGTGTGTGTGTGTGTGTGTTTGTGGGTGTTTGTGTGTGTGTTTGTGTGTGTGTTTGTGTGTGTGTTTGTGTGTGTTTGTGTGTGTTTGTGTGTGTTTGTGTGTGTTTGTGTTTTTTTGTGTTTTTGTGTGTTTTTGTGTGTTTTTTGTGTGTTTTTGTGTGTTGTTGTGTTTTGTTTTTTGTGTTTGTGTGTGTGTGTGTGTTTGTGTGTTTTTGTGTGGGTTTTGTGTTTTTGTGTGTTTTTGTGTGTTGTTTTTTGTGTTTTTTGTGTGTTTTTGTGTGTTGTTGTGTGTTGTTGTGTGTTGTTTGTCTGTTTGTGTGTGTGTCTGTGTCTGTGTCTGTGTCTGTGTCTGTGTCTGTGTCTGTGTCCGTGTCCGTGTCCGTGTCCGTGTCCGTGTCCGTGTCCGAGTCCGCGAGTCCGCGAGTCCGCGAGTCCGCGAGTCCGCGAGTCCGCGAGTCCGCGAGTCCGCGAGTCCGCGTGTCCGCGAGTCCGCGAGTCCGCGAGTCCGCGTGTCCGCGTGTCCGCGTGTCCGCGTGTCCGCGTGTCCGCGTGTCCGCGTGTCCCCGTCTCCCCGCGTCTCCCCGCGTCTCCCCGCGTCTCCCCGCGTCTCCCCGCGTCTCCCCGCGTCTCCCCGCGTCTCCCCGCGTCTCCCCGCGTCTCCCCGCGTCTCCCCGCGTCTCCCCGCGTCTCCCCGCGTCTCCCCGCGTCTCCCCGCGTCTCCCCGCGTCTCTCCGCGTCTCTCCGCGTCTCTCCGCGTCTCTCCGCGTCTCTCCGCGTCTCTCCGCGTCTCTCCGCGTCTCTCCGCGTCTCTCCGCGTCTCTCCGCGTCTCTCCGCGTCTCTCCGCGTCTCTCCGCGTCTCTCCGCGTCTCTCCGCGTCTCTCTCCGTGTCTCTCCGTGTCTCTCCGTGTCTCTCCGTGTCTCTCCGTGTCTCTCCGTGTCTCTCCGTGTCTCTCCGTGTCTCTCCGTGTCTCTCCGTGTCTCTCCGTGTCTCTCCGTGTCTCTCCGTGTCTCTCCGTGTCTCTCTGTGTCTCTCCGTGTCTCTCCGTGTCTCTCTGTGTCTCTCTGTGTCTCTCTGTGTCTCTCTGTGTCTCTCTGTGTCTCTCTGTGTCTCTCTGTGTCTCTCTGTGTGTCTCTGTGTGTCTCTGTGTGTCTCTGTGTGTCTCTGTGTGTCTCTTGTGTGTCTCTGTGTGTGTGTCTCTGTGTGTCTCTGTGTGTCTCTGTGTGTCTCTGTGTGTCTCTGTGTGTCTCTGTGTGTCTCTGTGTGTCTCTGTGTGTCTCTGTGTGTCTCTGTGTGTCTCTGTGTGTCTCTGTGTGTCTCTGTGTGTCTCTGTGAGTCTCTGTGTGTCTCTGTGTGTCTCTGTGTGTCTGTGTGTCTCTGTCTCTGTGTGTCTCTGTGTGTCTCTGTGTGTCTCTGTGTGTCTGTGTCTCTGTGTGTCTCTGTGTGTCTCTGTGTGTCTCTGTGTGTCTCTGTGTGTCTCTGTGTGTCTCTGTGTGTCTGTGTGTCTCTGTGTGTCTCTGTGTGTCTGTGTGTCTGTGTGTCTGTGTGTCTCTGTGTGTGTCTGTGTCTGTGTGTCTCTGTCTCTGTGTCTCTGTGTCTCTGTGTCTCTGTCTCTGTGTCTCTGTCTCTGTGTCTCTGTCTCTGTGTCTCTGTGTCTGTCTCTGTGTCTCTGTGTCTCTGTGTCTCTGTGTCTGTGTGTCTCTGTGTGTCTCTGTGTGTCTGTGTGTCTCTGTGTGTCTGTGTCTGTGTGTCTGTGTGTCTCTGTGTGTCTCTGTGTGTGTCTGTGTGTCTCTGTGTGTCTCTGTGTGTCTCTGTGTGTGTCTCTGTGTGTCTCTGTGTGTCTCTGTGTGTCTCTGTGTGTCTCTGTGTGTCTCTGTGTGTCTCTGTGTGTCTCTGTGTGTCTCTGTGTGTCTCTGTGTGTCTCTGTGTGTCTCTGTGTGTCTCTGTGTCTCTGTGTGTCTCTGTGTGTCTCTGTGTGTCTCTGTGTGTCTCTGTGTGTCTCTGTGTGTCTCTGTGTGTCTCTGTGTGTCTCTGTGTGTCTCTGTGTGTCTCTGTGTGTCTCTGTGTGTCTCTGTGTGTCTCTGTCTCTGTGTCTCTGTGTCTCTGTGTCTCTGTGTCTCTGTGTGTCTGTGTCTCTGTGTCTCTGTGTCTCTGTGTCTCTGTGTCTCTGTGTGTCTGTGTGTCTGTGTGTCTGTGTGTCTGTGTGTCTGTGTGTCTGTATCTGTGTCTGTGTCTGTCTGTGCCTGTGCCTGTGCCTGTGCCTGCGCCTGCGCCTGCGCCTGCGCCTGCGCCTGCGCCTGCGCCTGCGCCTGCGCCTGCGCCTGCGCCCGCGCCCGCGCCCGCGCCCGCGCCCGTGCGCGTGCGTGCGTGCGTGCGCGCGTGCGTGCGTGCGTGCGTGCGTGCGTGCGTGCGTGCGTGCGTGCGTGCGTGCGTGCGTGCGTGCGTGCGTGCGTGCGTGCGTGCGTGCGTGCGTGCGTGCGTGGGTGGGTGGGTGGGTGGGTGGGTGGGTGGGTGGGTGGGTGGGTGGGTGGGTGGGTGGGTGGGTGGGTGGGTGGGTGTGTGTGTGTGTGTGTGTTTGTTTGTTTGTTTGTTTGTTTGTTTGTTTGTTTGTTTGCTTTTTTGCTGGCTGCTTTTTGGGGGCTAATCGATGATGCCCTTAAGCCTAGATACCAGGAGCCTGCGAGGAATTTTGTATTGACAACACTTTGCGCAGCCTTTTAAACAGTCACGGGGGTATGATGCTAGTTGCATGGTGTGTGCCTTTGCTTTGCTTCGCTGCCACTCCGCTCGTCCATGAACAGTGTAAAGTCAGCGGCGCGCTCTGTCCACGGAAGTGGCGTCGCTCTCTCCCGGTCCGGTGCTTATAATGGGGGGGGTTCAGCGACCCCCGATTTCTTGCTGGTGGAAAACGTGGGTACATCCTGGCAGCCACGGAGGGAGGGAGTGGGGCCGTCCCCAAATACGAAAAACGAACCCCGGAGTTTCCCACGGCTACAAGGGGTCCCAAGACCGATGCCAGGAAGACCTTGAGCCCTTCGGAGCGCATAGTGGAGGAGGAGATCCTGCAGCTCAGGGCCAAGTTATCATGGCACTTGTCCAGCATTTATACAGCGCCTGGACCGCAATGCATCGATGTCTCATGTGTGTCTTGTGAGCGCTTCTTTTTTGTTTTGTATGGTATTCTACAGGCAAACTCAAAGGCAGCTGGCCGTTTTTGGCGGCTCCCCTCTTTTGAACTGGGCCTATCATGGAGCAAAGCGCCAAGCCTTGCCAAACTGGGCGTTTCCGATGTCTCGGGCCACTCACGGCGCAGGCAAGCATGTGGCCCTGAGTCTTCTCAGCTGACAAGTGAGTGAACTCACATCAATGGTCTCACTGACCATTGAACCTCAGTTAAGTGGCTCCCATTTTCCCCTTTTTTTGGTGGCTGCCCCACTAAAATGGTCTTCCCAAAATAGGGTTCCTTTTTCTTCCAGGGTCACTGAGCTTCCAAAAACTGCAGGTCTTCAACTTTGGGCTTCTGATTGTGCTCCAAGCCCAGGCGGGGGAAAAACTGATCTCAGAGCCCGTATCGACCACCGATGGCCAGTTCTGGGATCCCCTCAAACTTGATTTCGACGTGAAAAGGACCGATCTCGCGTGGCACTCGTGATGACTTTAACTCAACTTTGTCATTTTAACTTAAAGCTGCATCCAGTTGCTCATCTCGAAAAACAGCACCCTCGCGTTTCCAGATGTGGCCATGACTTTGTTCTTTAGATAGGAAACCACCTCAAAAAGTGCTTTGTTTTTGGGGATGAAGGCCCACATCTTCGTAGGCGTTTGACTGACAGGGCCGCAACCGCGTAGGCGTGCGTAGGCGTGCGTAGGCATGTCGCGGAGGCTTGTGTTGCGAAGCTCCGCGTAGGCAGCCGTTTGTGAGCTTGAACTGCCAAGTGACATAGTTTGTTGTTATGCAAGACATGGTTGTGTGACCGTTTGTGCGCAAGCTGTGGGTAGCAGCTTTTCGCCAGCTGTTTGCAGCACGGCAGCGTAAGCTCCATCAAAGAATCCCCTACTCAAAATCGCACCCATGTTCCTTTCACTTTTGATTTGACTGCTGGCCTTTCCTTGGAGCGCTGGCTGCGGCTGACTGCCCATGGTTGTTGAAATCTGATAGTTCTTTGGGCATGAAGGGCTTTCTGGGGATTTGAGCCGAACATCGCAGCGCGTTTTGTGTGTGTCGACTTGTCGCGTTTCCCAAGCCAAGGGCGGCCATTTCCAGGACCACAGAGTACATCTTGCAGCAACTCTCGACATTCATCATCATCTTGGCAAGTCATCTGCTCCAAGTGGGTGACATGTGGGCGCACTTACCAACACGCCAACAATACACGACAATTAATTCTCACATATTCTCACCCAATTCCGTCAGCTACCCCGTGGTCCATGAGATGCTGAACCAGTGGAGTATTCCGGCATTTGACTCAGGCCAAGCTGGCACGCTCATTTGGACAAGCTGGGCGTTTTGCCCAGCTCACGGTTTAGACAATGGAATCTCCCGCCTTTTCGTGAGAGCCCCCCCCCAAAAAAAAAGAAGAAAGAAAGACTCTAGACAATCCAATCTCCCGCCTTTTCGTGAGAGCCACCCCCAAAAAAAGGAAGAAGAAGAAAACAAAAAAAGAAGAAAGCAAAAAAGCGCGGCCAGGGCCCGAGCCCCAACGCCTTTCTGTGGAACATGCTGGCCAACTTCGCGTGGTTCGCCCTCAGCTCGCTGGCGCCCAGCCTCTTGCGCCAGGCGGGCTCTCGGGAGACAAATTTGGGCTCCGACGGGCGGGGTGTCTCCAGTTGATACTGTGGATGGACAAAATCCGCTTAGGCACCCCCGAAGAAACCCTGGAATGATTCGATTCCCCTGAGAATACCAACAGATTGTGGTTTCCCATGGTTTCCAAGTGGTGCAGATTCCCCTGTAAGTACCAACAGATTGTGGGAAACCCCATGGTTTAACACTGGTGCAGGATTTCGCCCATCCACAGTAGCGTTGATCCGGGTCCGGGTCAACCTATGGTGTGCCTCGTGTTTGAGAAAAGCTTGCTTTGAAGGGAAGCCGAAAAGCGATCAAAGCTGTTTGGGGCGTCTCCTATGCAAGACACACATGTCCCCTGTGGCTTGGTAAGATCACTATTTGAAGGCCAGCTTAAAAGTGTGTTTCCTTTTGGTGATGCGTAAAGAGGAAATATAAGAGCCCTGAAAAACCAGGTCCATTTAGCCATGGATAGGGGAGATCCTTGCCTAGGGAGTGCAATCACAAGGCATCGGGGGAGAATGGGCGGTGGGGGAAGGGGTAGGTTGCCAGGAGTCTCCTTCAAAGTGAAGTTGCAAAAGTGGGGATGGGAATCCCGCGTCATCACAGAAAACTCATGCCAAACAACGCCACGGTTGCCTTTTGCCACTTTGTTTTGACCGGAAGCAAGCGAAAACAAAGAGGACAGGGAGAGATGCACAGGGACTGAGGGACGAAAGGGACACAGACAACTGTAAACATGGTTCTTGAAACTTTGACGACCGCTGGAACCATATTTGTGATTTCTGTGTTTCATCATGCTGACCTCGCGGTGGCTACGGATTTGTGTTTAAAGCGGTTTGCAGTGTTGCACATCACTTTCTGCAGTTTGTGCCTGAAGCACATGGTCCCTCGCCTGCTGTTGGCTGGTGCCTTCCTTAGTAGTTACCCTCATATTTTCCACCACGTTATGCACTTTGTGCCGTGGCTGCCCAAAATTCACCGTGCACTCTTTTACATTATTGTATATTGGACTTGTAGTATCCATTTCCTTTGAACAGGTCTTGCAAGCTCAGGTGCTTGGGATTTGACTAGCGGTTTGTGGTTCGACCCAGTTTGGCCGTGCTAACGAACATGAAGAAGGGGAAGCAAAAAGTTGTTTTGCACAGAGGTCCGTGGCTAATGACATTTGTGCAGAGTTGCTTGAGGTGTGTCATGGCTAAGTCAGAGGCTTAGGACTGAGGCAAACATTGAGCCCAAGTCAATGACTGTGTTTCCTGAGTCTGCAAAGACAAAGCAGTTGCGGCTTTGCCCCTGCAAAGATCCGAAGGTTGAGAGCCCACGTGATTCTCGTGAATCTGCGAAAAAAAACATGCTTCGGCAATACCAAAGTCGTACGCGTGAGCGAATCGACCTGACATGACCTGAGCCAACTGGTATAACTTGTGGCTTACTCCAAGGTTTCCAAAGGCCACTGTACGAGGGAAGAACATCGCCGCTTTCGTTTGGGTTTCTTTAATTTTCATGGTTTTCCTTTAGGGCAAGAGTCTAGGAACTACTCTTCACTGATCTTTGGAGCAATGATCTGAGGACCTTTGGTACGCTGTGTTCATGCTAAGCTGTCTCAGCTTCTTGTGTCCCTGGTGCTCCACATTCGATCAGAGCCTTGGACGCATACCCAAGCCAAGTTACTGGGGTTCGGGAAACCAAAGGAAAGCCATCCAGCTCGGAATTCCGAGACAAAATCAAAATCAGAAACAAGTGTGGGCCGGGTCGACCCCTAAAATTGGACCGCCCTTACGAAAGAATGGTCCAACCTTGCTAGGAAAAGTCCCAAAAGAGTCTTTTTTGGCAGAGCGGTCATTGTATCAGACTTGTGGGGTCCAACCGTATGGGAAAACCATTGGGGCCCACACTTTGATTTGTAGGATTCCTTTGGGCGGATGTCAAACTCGCCCTCTGGCAAAAGGAACATGAATCTGGGTGAACCAAATGACTCACAGCGAATCGGCCGATCGGAGCTGCCCAAATTTTCGCAAGGGTGGGCTACAAGGCACGTGAGCCACAATCAAAGCCCAGGTACTGGTAGATGAAGGTAGCAAGGAGTAGTCCCATTTATAGATAGGTGCGACCGCCTTTTGAATGATGTACATGGGCCTTGGGTAGACCATTTCAATACCTGGTTTTAATTGTCATTTGACAAGAGTTGCAATGGCACCCGTTGCAAAAACCACTTGTGGCAAAGACTTATGGTGTCCGTTCAAGTGAGCATGAGGATTGCCAACAGAAAGCGCTTTGCGCAACCTCCCAATGTCGAGCTTGGAGCAATTCACCTGTTCCCCGTTCCCTTTACACATCTGCCATGGGCCAAGCGAGCACTCAAAACCCCTATTGGCAAGTTTAGCAGGTGGTTCTACTACCCTTTTTTTTTACAGACGATTGTGAGGTCTGTACAAGCCCTTTAACAATGTCAGTACAACCAAAGGTCACTGGGTTTTGGCCGCTCAAGTGCACCTACTTCAAGGGGCAGGGTACTTAGTAAGTGGTTAGTAAGCCTGGTTATAACCCACTCAGGAGACTTAGAACCATGGTCCGTGGGTTATGGTCAGGCTTACTAGCCACGTATGAAGTGCCCTGCCCGTATTATGCCTGATATTCAAAGTGGGGGACGCAGAAAGCCATCTAGAAGTCCCAGACTTGAGCCGAATTCCACACCTGTGTTTGATACGTTGCCACAGGCGGAGAGATGGGTAGTCCGCCTGGCCCAAAGCGAATCGGCTCTGGTTTCCCTTTCTTGTTGTGTTTTTGGTTTTGGTTGCCCCTTTTTTTTAAGACACAGCTTGAAGAGGTGAACCTTTCGTTTCTAGGTGCTTTAGGCAAATGAGTATGGGTTGAACAAGACCGGTGTCCCAGTGTCTCTAAAAGGAAACGTGGACATTTGAATTTGTTGAACGCCAGTGCTTTGCCACATTTTGAAGAGATTCAGGCTCCGCTTGATCCAAGCTACTTGGGTTGGGCGAGAGCCAAGGAGCTTGAAGATGGCGCCTTTCTGCCTGCTGCTGGCGCGAATACCCTTCGCCTTTTGGCACTGTTTGCGGGTTCTGGGGTGTCACAAGCTGCCTTTCAAGTCTCATGCACAACCTTCCAACAGAAGTCATGAGACCAACATTCAGAAGGTGCTCCAACTACCTTGACAAGGAGAAGCACCGACATCAGCCTCTTGATCCAGTGTGAAACTTGCATCCAGGGGCCCAGGTTGCCACCTGCGCCAACCCGGAGGCGTCAAGTCCTCACCCAGCAAGTGAAACGCATGTATCAGCAAAGTTTGGTGAGCACCTTGGAAGGCCAGCCGCAACTGAGCGAAGCGAGGATGACGGCAACCAGGAACCGACTAACCGAGTGACGGGCGATGTGAAACGATCTGTCTGGTTCCAGGAAAAAGGCCACATGAGGTTGCTGACTTTGTCCCCGCTCGATTTCTGAGTGGCATGCCCACCTTGGCTCGGTCGGCATGGCTCCACTCTGGTGAGACATGAGACCCAAAGCCACGAGCTGACGGGCGCAAGTTTTTGAAGGCAAGCCTCGGTGTGCGGAGGCGATGCGCTGTCACCTGTGAAGCGTTGCCCGCATTTTGCGGATTGTTAAGAGCAGGTGAACTAGGAGTGAAATGCAGTAGTTCACCAAAGTGATGAACGGTTGGTGGGACGGTTTCGCCCAACTGTTCGGTTGTAAAATGGGCAATCTGAGTGTTTGGTTCAATGGTTTTTTTCGAGGTTCTGCCCTCCCTATCCCTCCCTCACATAGTGTGCAAACCCTCTTTGAGGGGGTCCCAGGCGGTTTTTTCAACCACAGGAGTCGTGAGGTAGATCCCGGCCAACACCCCAGATGGATCGCTTCCCTGCAGGTTGATCGGATTTAGGGAGACTTGGAAGCGAAGGCGCCCTTACAAGAAATCCAGGGATCCTCGATGACCATTGGTAGAAAACATGGCGGCTACCTCCCCCCTTTTTTCACCCCCTTGAAATCCTTCCCCGGAAGGCAACGAACCATAGCGGACCCCTATTTTGAGAAACTCACATTTGCTGGCTGTCTCAGGTAGTTCTACCAAGCCGTATGAGCCTGGTAGTGATTTGCAACTCTCTCTTCGCGCTCACCGCGATCACGCGTATGGTTTGGGACGCTTGGCTCGGGAGGGTTTTTTCTCAAGCCCTTGGCCGATGGAGAAAGGTAAAATAAATATGGCTGTGGCTCAAAAAAGTGTACCCAAAAAGTCCCCCTAGGTAAATGGAAACAAAGACCAACACCTGCGTAGCCCTGGCTCTTAAATTTTGAGCCACACCCATATTGCTTTGGGTAGCTCGACCATGCTTGATACAACTTAAAGGTACTGGGGCCTGTAAGACACGCTGGCATTCTTTGGTCCCATTTGCGAGATGTGCAATGTTTGCTTTGGAGAGCCGGTTAAAGCAACCCCAAAAAGGGACAAAAGGGTTCCCTCAGAAACCCATCCACATGGAAGAACAGTGAATTGCCACACAGGCTTTCGGTGCTGACAGCCTGCGTAGTTGTTTTTTCTCCATGCGCAGATGTTTCGAGTCAAGCGTCGAGAAAACTTCACCCAGACACCCAGTGCCCTTACCTGTAAAGGAGAGGGGTTCCTTTAATTAGGCCTAGAGTGTGTTCGCCAGTGGCCGCTGCCGGTCTGGGTCAAATCGGCAACCAAAAGGTGATATTCAAAGCTGAAAAGCGTTTTTTGGTGGTACTGTGGAACGCGCATGTAGTGCTGGCTTTAAACGGAGTTTGGACACGAACAAGGTCAGCATTTTGTCAACCAAGACAGCATGTTCCGTTTGTTTGCAAACATATGGGTGTGGCTCAAAATTAAGCCACCAGGGGAAGGCCTGTTTTAGTCATGGGTTCCATTTACCAGGGTTCCATTTTGGGTACCCATTTTTGACCCACAGCCATATGTTTGTTGCATTGGTTCTTTGCAAATGGCCCTCCCGTGTCTTTTGTATTGAAAGGGGCCATACACTTTTGCCCTCCGGGGGCATCTCTTTGAGCCGTCGTTGGCACCGGCTTGAAGCCTCAGAATGAGGGTTCCTTCCGCAGCCTGGGATGCAAGCCATTGAAACAATGGGGGGACGTATAAGGATGGATACATTGGGTGGGACAAGGGTTCACCATTTTCGTTGTACATCAATTGTCATGGTTTTCTCACAACCACCTAACCTGGGCTGTTCAAAAAAGTACCAACTCCAAGAATGGGTGGTTTCCCTGTAAAACCACAAAGCCAAGTCGGGTTCCCCATTTTGGGGGTGGAACCCTAGGTCCAAGGTGTCCCAGCTAAGGAGGGAGGCAATTTGGCGCCCGCCGAAGACGGCCTGCCCTTCGCCCCTGGCGCCTTGGTGAGCCCGCCGAAATCCACGCGAAGCCCACGGGAGAAGTCCTCGGCTGTTGGGAGCTGCCAAAGCGAAGCCCCGAAAAAGCCACTCGGGGGCGTGCCCCAACGACCACTTGAGGCCCTGGGTTCGCCGCTGGGGTTTCACGTGCGTGCAAAAGCCAGGGTCAGTTCGGGGAGGCGTTTCCTCCAACGTTCCGTTTCCCTTCCCAGTGCCAGGCTTAACGGCCTCCAACCCCTGACTCGTCAGGGTTCTCCCAGAGGCCTTGTTGCCGATTGACATCACTGGTTGGGCAAGTCCGAGGTGAGTTTCCCTTTGAGAAATGAGCCATTTCGTACATATGCCGAGCGAGAATGAGAGGTTCCAGGCTCCCAGCAGGCACAGCAGGCATGCGAGACCCAGGTAGTGCCAGCATGCAATCGATGACACAGCGGGCAATCCAGCCTAGAGCGTAGCGAGCACTCCATGCTTCGCTTTTCGACTCTCCCGCACGAGTCACATCTCGCTCTCCCTGGAAGGCACACCCAATGGTTGCCTTGTGCCAAGCACATACCTTGCTAGTTCCCACTCATCCCCCTAGCTTTTTAGCTTTTCAGTTGGTGTAGTGCTTGGGCTTCCGTATTTAACCCACGAAAAGTGCGTCCCTTTCAGGGGATCTGAAAGCGGACAGCCCAGAGAGTTTGCGCGCGGATTTCTCGGAGTCAACTTGAAGTCGCGGAGCCTCAGGAGCCAAGGAAGCCTCTGGCGAGAGTCCTCCATGACCCGACCGTTTTTCCAATTTGCGTGGTTCCCCTTTGAACATGGTGACCCCCCTAGACGGCCGCCTGAACTGGGCCAGCTGGCTGAAATGAACATGTTCCAGCTTGGCAAGAGGCGAGCTGGCCGAAACGGCTATGAGGTGTTTTCTCGGGGATGGAGCTTTTCATGGTTGTTGTTAGGAAACAGTTTGCTCATGTTTGCTTATTGTGGTTTAGTGGTTGAAATCCAAGTCCACTGAACTGCATGTTTTTTTTAGACTTTTTGCTTCCCTTCCAGCGCCAACCAATAATTTTTATACCTAGCTTGACTCAGTTCCCAAGTCCCTGGGCTGAACTTAAGCTCTTTGACGGATCAAATTTTAGTGGTAAAACAAACAAAGTGGGGCAGGGCTCCTTGAAAGATTCATGTTGCCCATTTGAAACATGTTTTTCCACCAAAATAAAAGGAAACCACCATTTACAAGGCAATGTTCAGGTGTATAATGTAAGGATCCCTGTGGGGTCACAAACAAGGTGGTACTGGTACAAACATGATCATAGTGGTACGCAAACGAAGTTCGGGTACTTCTTTTGGCCACTCAGTGGAAGTGAGATGCTCTCACCCGTTTGGGTCCCCACTTAAATGGTACTGGCATTTGGCCCAGGTGCCCGAGTCAGCTACCCGGCTTGACGCGCTCGCTCGCTCCAACAGGGCTGCGGAAGAAAGGCAATAGGGAACCAGCTGGTTGATTCTGCAAAATGAGTCGATACATACCTTGGCCACCTTGGAAAAGGGGCGAAAAGTAGGCTGTTGAAACAAGGAGTGCTCAAACGTGTTCAAACAACGGGACGGAGCTGCCTGAAGGAATCCAGCCAGAACAGAGAAACTAAAGCACAGGTCAGCCTTCGCATTTGTCTTCGGAGTGATTTGAACAAACAACAGCTGATTGCCAACAGTAAGTACTTGCTTGAGTGGTGTAATATTTCAGCGTCACCCTGCTTCTATTGGTGAAGCAATAGAGAGATCAGCCAAAGGGAACTGAAGGAACGCCAGCGAAAGTGGCCTATGATTTCTCAACTGGTCATTCAAAGAGACCCACATCCGACACGAAGCCTCGGAGCAATATGTGCCATGTCCAACTAATTGCGTGGAAAGCTATCTCTATCAGACTGGAGTGATCCGAGTGATCCACCCTATGGCAAGGAAATCAAACGACAAATTATATGCATTTTTGCTGCAAGAGTTGGTTACTCCACATAGAAATGCGACTCAGGTACCAGAGCCACTTGGGAAGTGCGACCCACTGGGGAAGTCAAGGGCACGAGGGCGCTGGCCTCCGGAGTAAAGGCGAATCATGGTCCAAAGGACCTGAGAAGATCCCAAAATCTGCTAAGGCTCGCTGCGAGACATTTGGGTGATCCTAAAATTGGAGACCCATCAAATCCATAGTGCTTGGTTGTCTTGTGGCTTCCGACTTGCAAATGCCTCAGGTCTCGCATGCATTCTTTTTTCGAGGGCAACCTTCTCAGGTGTCAAGGGAGAAACCAAAAGGACCGACGAGTTTTATCGCGGTCCCTCTAGCCCATTTGGCCTTTTTGCCGGCCCGGCTGCACTTAGGTCTGATTACGCTGGAATGCCTTGAGTGCTTCCTGGTCGTTGCTCTCGCAGCCCTTCTCCGTATCGCCCTGAAGATGCTTGGCATGCAATTGTTGCGCCGAGTTTGAATCTGGTGAGTGCTCCTTGTCTCAAAAAGCCCTTTGAGATATGGCCGTGGGTCAAAACTACTGGTACCATTTTGGGGTAGGTGCACCACCCATTTAGTCTATTTTAGTGGAGACTGGGATGTTCACTGGGGGCACGATGTGGCTTTTGAACCATGGCCATATTGGTGTGTTTGCGTGCTTCTGTGTGTTGTGGGTTGGTGGCGGGTCAGCATTTCTTCTAGTCCCGTGAGGCGGGCAAGTGAATCATGACCTCTTTGCCGCAGCTGACTCCAGCCAAAAAGTTCGGAGGCACCGCAGCCAGTTGTGACCAATGTTTGGAGAACTTCCACTGAAGTTTTTCGAGCTCTCCGCCCCAGACTTCCAGACCATAGTGCCAGAGTGTGTTTCCTGAAGGGCTCTACAGATTCTTGTAGTGAGATTGTGTGGAAGATACAGGGAGATTGAGATTGAGGGAGACTGCACAGGGGCAATCAGAACGCTTTGACAAAGTAGTCATTTCCTCATCACTTCAACCTCGAGTTCCGGAAAGAGGAGGGAACACCTGGCAACGTGTTTTCCCCAGAAGGGAAAAAACAACTCAATTGAATGCAACCCCAAACTGTAGTGATTATGTTTTCTCCCCGCTCGCAGGAGCACTGTAATTAAGGGGTTCACTGAAACCATGCATCCCAATGATTCCCAATGCAATTGTTGTGAAAAGTTGTTTGGGAACAGGGTGCTGTGCTGCGCTCTGTGTGTTGATCGGTTATGCCCAACCTTGATTTTGGCACTAGTTTTCCAAAAACGCGGTTCCGGCGATACCAAGATTCAAGACCATGTTGTAAGCTCGAGCTATGACTGGGCTATGTCAGAGATTATTTTCCATGTTCAGGCTTTCTAACATGGCCCAGAATTCAATGTTCAGTTTCCTGTTCGACCATTCAGAGGCCGTTTTGTAGATGTCACTTTGTACCCAGTTTTAAGCCCCAGCCCCCCCAACACACACACACACACCACCCAGAAAAACCACCCACGTGCAGGAAGAACGTGGAGAAGGCGGAAGTGCGGCGCCAGTCGGCCACCCAGCTGGATGCGATGACGTCTTTGCTACAGCTGACCTGTGCCTCGATGAGAGAAACGCGTCCACGCTCGTGGCTCGTTTCTTGCGGACACCCACAAATTGGTGGCTGTTCCTTGCAGTTTGCCTACGCCAAAGAGGGGTACCCTTACATTGACGCCACTGGGTTGGAGTTCTTTTGGGGGGTTCCAGGTAGACTTAAGTCCAATTGTTGTTTCTTTGGGGGAAGTCAACCAAGCCCTGGGTTTATGAGATAAAACAAACAGGAAACCAATCGTTTGAGGAATTTTGACCGTGGCTCGCACCAGCCAAACTTTGCTCACGGAGCCGGCGCTTCCGACAAAGTCAGTGCTAAGCAAAGCAACAATTACATCCGCCTTGTAGATCAGGAAAGGGCCCAACCAACTGCCTTATGTAAGGCCTACAAACATTCCCTGAGTAACCAATAGGCCAATAGGCCTTGTGTGCAAATGACAACCAGCCTGTGGATTCACAACGCAAATTCCCTATGTTTCTCCGGGGGTTTTAAGCATCACCCTCTCACATTTCAGGTGAGTGTCCCTGGGTCAACGTGGGAAAGGGACTCCTGTCAGCTGCATTCGAGGCGATGCCGTGGTTCAGCTGGACTCGGAGCTTCGCTTGATGGTGCATTCGCCTGAGCTCGCTGCGATGCTACTGCGAGATCCCCAAGGCGGATGTGATCGATACACCACCTGATTGCTGGGGGTTCGTTGAGATGGTCAGAGCAGCACGTTTTAGCATGTTGGCTGATGTCCAAGCAACCACATACTATTGTTGGTATTATTATTGGTATTGTTATTTGTTATTCCCCACCCGACAGGAAGGGGTTGTTAGATTTTGTGTTGGAATCCGCGTTTGCGATGCTTCTACACCACGCCCCCACCCAGTATCCCGCCAGAGCAGCTCGCCAGTGGATCCCGCCAAGTATCACGCCAGAGCAGCTCGCCAGTGAATCCCGCCATATCCCACCAGAGCAGCCCGCCAGTGGATCCCGCCGAGTATCCCGCCAGAGCGGCTCGCAAGTGGATCCCGCCGAGTATCCCGCTGAGTATCCCAGAGTAGCTCGCCAGTGGATCCCGCCGAGTATCCCGCCAGAGTAGCTCGCCAGTGGATCCCGCCGAGTATCCTGCTGAGTATCCCAGAGTAGCTCGCCAGTGAACCCGCCGAGTATCCCGCTGAGTATCCCTTGCCGCCTGCCGAGTATCCGGCCAGTATCGAGCCGGAGCGGCTCGCCAGTATTCGTCAGTGGAGTGGATGACGCCAGTATCCCGCCAGAGCAGCTCGCCAGTCTGGTTTTGCTTAATGTCCCGCCCGGCACACAGTTGGGTTTACGTTTTATGTTGGTGCTTTCGTGTTTTGAGTGTACCCTGAGGCTCGGAAAGGCTGATGCTTTGTGTTGCTTTGGGTTGTGAATAAGCAACTTCGCTTAATCCCCATCGGGTTTCTTTTCGGAAGGAGCTTGGCCTCGTGAGCGCGGAGGGTGGGGATTGCTCGAAGCGAAGTAATTATTGTGATTATAGTTTTTTTATTATTGTTATTATGACTATTGTTAGTGTTATTATTATTATTCTTGTTATCATTATCATTATCGTGATCATTATCATTATCATTTTCATTATTCTGATTTTGTGTTATTATTTATGTATATAGTTATGAAGCCACTGTGAAGTGTGAAGCTTGCTTAAGGCCAATTTGGGCAGACATGGATGGGGCTGGCTTCCTCCAAGCAAGCTCTTCAGCAACCGCCAACTTAAAGGGAAGCCACCATAAATTCCTGGGTTTGAGTCATACTGATATTTTTGCTGGTCAGAGCACAATCTGACGGCAAATCCCCTGTGGCCAATTGCCCCCAATTTCTTTGCAACGAGCTGCTTGATGCCAGTGAGAACCTTGGATCAACTACTCCCTGGTCAGTCACGCAGGGGGAGGGAGGAGAAGGGGGAGAGCCCTTCCCCTCCCTCCCCCAACCCCTTTGATTGACAATTGTTTGGCAGTTGGGAATGAATTTTCAGATGTTCGAGAATGTTTTAGAGGGGTCTTGATTGTGCAGCGCTTGCTGCCTTTGTAGTTTGGTGGTATTTGAGGTTTGTGGCCTTTGATTTCATGGCATGGCATGTGGCCTGTTCGTGTTCAAATTTTACCCTCGGTCCAGCCTCCACACCCTAAACGGATCACCCGAAAACCTGCCAAAAGACCCCACAACCAATCATACGAGTGGAACATGCGCAAGAAATCAACAGAAAACCTTTGAACCCAACCCGAAACCCAACTCACAAACCAACCGTGAAATCCTCCAAATCCGAAGCCACCCCCTGGACAATCTCCAACCAGTCATTGCCCCTTACACAAAGCCTCAACCTACCACAAATCAACAAATGAAGCTTTCACCAGCTAGCTCCCAAACCAAAGCCAACCCTTCACTCTCAACTCTACCTTGCACCAATCCAAAACTCCACTTCAATTTTGCGTTCACCGAGACCTGGTGTGATGCCTGCTGTGTGATCACGGAGTCTTTGTTGCGTCAGACATGCTGCCACCCGGAATAGATTGATTTATCCGGCCACATCTTCCCTAACTGGTCTTGAACAAAGTCGGAGCCCCGGTTATGTTTTGAAGATCAAATAAGATATGTGTGATTTGTTTTTTTGGGGGGGGCTCGCTTGGAGTGAAAGATTAGTTTCGACTTGGCCTTCGCTTCCGAACAAAGACCCATGCGACAGGCGCATCGCTGGCAGGCATGAAGCCCCCTGGCTGGAGATCAGCTGACGAAACGGCATAACCCCTTTGCCTCGCCGGCGGAAAATGACACCGAAACGTGGTACCAAGGCGCCCCCAGTCTTGAAAGCCACGTGGGAATGTGTAACTGGGGACCCCCTCAAAAGGTTCATGTTGAAAGGACGCCCGCACGTCATCTGTTTGGAGGGCTACCAGCGGTTTTGCCACACAGCCGCATTTGCGGTATCATGAGCAAAAAACACATCAAGCTGGTGGGTGCGCTTTTGTTGTTTTATCGCCCGAAGGATGGTTAATCAATGTTCCCCTCACAAAGATTCTATTTTAGAGACCCTGCCGAGCCTTCTCAGGGAAGGGTGTGAGAAGCAATGCTCCTTACCTTCCCATCGCTGTGCCAGAACGAGCCATAGAGATGCCGGAGTCAAAAGACCTGGTTGCTTCGCTGGTTGCTTCGGATGAACATTTTGATTTGGAGCAGGTACCCGAATGCAGAATGAAGAAGGGCACTGCCCAACTAGAGCTCCGGCTTCGGTGCTCTAAGTGGCAACAAGGGGCACCATCCGCACGTTGAGCAGAATGCTCAGGTTGCCAGAATGGCTTCAGGGTGTTCCTTGGGTGTGCGTGTGTGTTTATGTCAATATACATGTATAGATAGATAGATAGATAGATAGATAGATAGACAGATAGATGGATAGATATATACACACACTATTATTCAGTTTCCGAGAATTACTAGCCCTTCGCGGTTTCACCTTGGAAGCCCGCCAAAAGGGGCCTGCGATTACCCCATGTTTGGGTCCTGAGCGGATCCCGTTTTGCAAACCTGAGCCACGACCTCGATTGGAATCCAGCCGGATGTCCGGCTCCGGCATCGCGGGGTCTTAAGCCGGTTGGTCGACAGAAAACCTTGGGATGTTCATGGCCTGGCTTCAGTCTCAGTGTGGCGATTTGTTGACAGGGACTAGTCCAAATAGCGCTCGTTTACTGTTAGCCAGACATACTTCTAGGTGAAGCCTCTTTCCCGGCATCCTTCTTTTCAGGAAGCCATCGTAATCCCAGGAAAAGACGCTGTTTTCTTTGAAAAGAACGATGATTTAAAATAATAGCTGGATCAACCCCTAGAATACTGAAAAAAAGAACACCTTCGCAGGAATCAAGAGCCATTTTCGCAAGTCGAGCCAAGGTTTACGGACTTCATGCCTGCAGTGGACGCGAGCCATGCTTCAGAGCATTTGAAGGCGGGGGGGTAATGGTTGAATGGCTTCGAGAAGGGGGGTGTCTTGTCTTGAGGCTCGGTGGCCTTTTGCAGGTTGTTGCAAAGCTACATCAAGCGGCAAACCATCAACTAGGTCCCCCAACAGTGCCCTTTTACCCTTTTTGGGGGGAGGGTTACTAAAATACACTACAGAAAAAAGGGTACCGTCTCTACTGGAGGACCTAGTCAACTGTGGTCCCTGCCTCGTGACAAAACCAGGGGATTCTAACATGCAACTTTGCTCAACCAGTTGGTTTCCTGAGCTTCTAGGGTGGGCCTTGCCGGCAAAACCGGCCATTTCTTCCCACTTGCAGGTTGAGGGTTAACCA